CGAAAAAATTAAGAAAGCCATAACTACGTAACACTAAAGCACGACACAGAGGGCGAAAGAAAGTGCATGAAATGGTATAGTAAAAATAAATATAAAGAAATGAAAATAAATTTTACAACTTTGTTGCGCACTTTACGCTTCTCTGCCTGCGGCGTCACCGCCTCAGCCGCGCACCTCCGTTTCCGAGGCAGTTCTAGTTTGCCTGTTTAACATTATCTTAAATTTTCTGGTCCTCAGTTGCTAACCCAAACCTTACGGATATGACTGTGCCCACGCTGATCACTCAGTAGCGGATGATGGACACTTCTCGGAGAACCAAACCCACGCTCACCTTCGGCCCGCTTGACTGTGCTGTAATTTTTCAAATCTTTGCCTTTAATGGACCATCAACAACCTGCATTCGTGGCTCGTTGGGCTGCTCTCAGCTTGGCTTATACCTCTGCAACTGCGTTTGCGTCTGCTCCCTCTTCTTCCTCGCCTCCTTAAAAGCGGGTGTGCATGGGCGAGTATATGCGCTGCTGCCATGGCCATAGCTTGGCTGTAAAAATGCGTTTTAATGGTTCAATAAAAATAAAAAGTTTACATTAAATTCTGGAAAAAACAATTAGCGTAAAAAAAGCATTTTCAAATTTTCCTCTCCCATTCCTTTTTCATTCATTCCTTATTTAACGCTGATGTCGATACCTTGTAGTTGTTGTGTAGCTATTATTGTTGTTTATTGCACAAATTTCGGTGCTCCACTAGTTCTTCCTCCTCCTGTTCTTTTTATTTATATTTTTATTCTTTTATATTTTTTCTCAACTTTACAGCCATTTTGGCGTTCGTTACAGTTTTTCAGCGATTATTTTTCGCTTCCAGAATTTCATAGATTCTTTCTGAATTTTTCCAGAGGCTCCACCACTGACATACCCTTCCCAGAATTTTAAGTTTTGAACATACACACTCACATTTATCTTATTCTTTCGGAGTTTGTGTGCGGATTTTTATTTTTATATTTCGCTTAGCAACGTGTACACGATGAAACTATAAGCGAACTCATTAGATTTCTTCTCTTGGCAGGAGGACGATTGCAGTAGCTGCCGCAGATCGCACTCACGTCCTGCCTGAAGTTCGGAGCACAGCCTGCCATATACACAGCCTAGCAAATGTATCCTAAACGAAGGAGAGTAAGCTGGAGTACGGTCCTCAGTAGCAGTAATTGTGATGGGCAAGATATGCGACAGGCCCGGTCAAGTGCTTATAGGATCGTACATCTGTTGTTGTAGTGGCTGTTCGCCCTTCGGGATCTAACACGTTTGGGTCATTAAGTAGTACTAGTATCTTAGACTTTGTTGTCTTTGGCGATGCTGCAAGCGGCTTAGAACTCTCAGTGGCTGCCAATAGAAAAGAAATTCCCAAGGCAGAGCTGTGAAGTGAGTTAATCAAGAGAAAACTTAATATTCCGGTCGATGCTTTCACGGAGCATCTGTCGTGAGACCACGAAAAGGGAGATACACTGACTCACACTCGAGACGGAAAGTGTTAAAATGGTTAAATTATAGACCAAACTGAATTTGTTTGACAGTGATGAACAAAACGAAACGTGCGTCAGCAGTTTAAACCAGTGTTGCCAAAGTTTTTACGCATAGTTTTTTCGTGCTCACACTCACTCAAAGCCGGGCCGCTAAGTCTATCGGTTAAACTAGTAGAATGTGTAAAAAAATTTGGAAGCTCAAAAAAAAAAAAAAATTTAAAAGTGGTCAAATTCTTTTGTTTTTGTATATTTTACATTGCCGGTTTTGAGTGTGAGTCACTGTAGTTGTGCGCTGAAGAATTCGTTATGAAACTCTTTGTTCACTCCGTTCGCTTTGATGACGCATTTAGTAAGTGTCAAAGTTAATATTATTTTGACTAAGTATAAATCTAACTCACTAATCTGTTCCCTAGAATAACCTCACTCTGTATGTAATGCATAAGCATATGTTTACTAAGGCTGTAGTATTCCTTCTTGATTCGCGGAACTATGTCAATGCCGCCGTATATCTCACATTGGTCATCATTCCATCGGCTGCGGTATTCGTTGTTATGAACTCGTAGAGGACCGTAAATCTTACGAAAAACTTTTCTTTCCAAAACTCCTAACGCCAACTCATCAGATGTTGTCATCGCCCATGCTTTCGCACCATATACGAGACTAGAAGTAGGACGGGTATGTTGAGCGACTTGTAGAGTTTGGTTTTCGTTCGCCGAGAGAGGACTTTACTCTCCAATTGCCTACTCAGTCGAAAGTAGCACCTGTAGGCCATAGTGATTCTGCGTAGGATTTCATGGCTAACATTGTTGTTGGTGTTAATGCTGGTACCAAGATAGACGAAATTATCTACGACTTCAAAGTTGTGACTTTCAGCAATGACGTGGGAGCCGAGTCGCTAGAGTGATGAATGTTTGTTTGATGACAGGAGATATTTCGTCTTGCCCTCATTCACTACCCTCATTCTCGACCCATTCGCTTCGCTTCTTTATCAAGCCTGGAGAAAGCAGAACTAACGGCGTGGTTGTTGAGACCGATAATGTCAATATCATCGGCGTACGCCAGTAGTTGTACACTTTTATAGAAGATTATACCTTCTCTATTCAGCTCTGCTGCTTTTATTATTCTTTCCAGTATCAAATTGTAGAAATCACACGACAAAGAGTCACCCAGGGAGGTCCTTTCCGATCCTGACTGAGCTTTTAGAGCTGGCTAAGATCACCTTACACAGCCGTATAGGTTTTGCAGGGATCATAAATTTAGACATAAAGACATAGGCAGCTCGTTTTCGTGCTGTCGAAGGCGGCTTCAAAATCGGCGGAGAGGTGGTGGGTGTTGATCCTCCTTTCACGGGTCCTTTTCAAGATTTGGCGTATGGTGAACATCTGGTTAATAGTTAACTTACCAGGTCCAAGGCCACACTGAAAAGGGACAATCAGTTTGTTGACGGTGGTGCTTCTCACAAAGCGCTCGATAGGACCTTATATGCGATGTTAAGCAGACTTATTCCACGGTAATTGACCCGGACTGTGGGATCGCCTTTTTTGTGAATGGAGCACAGCACACTTAGGTTCCAATCGTCGGGCCTGTTTTCATCCGACCATATTTTGCAAAGAAGCCGATGCATGCACCTGATCAAGTCTTCACCACCGTATTTGAATAGCTCGGCCAATAATCCAATAATCCATTGTAGTTTATTAAGCGGACGATTGCTATACGGATTTCTTCATAATCGGGTAATGGAAGAACTTTTCCATGGTCATCAAATGGAGTTTGGGGCTCACCTTTCCCCGGTGTTTCATTTTGATTGCCACTCAGCAGGCTGGAAAAATGTTCCCTCCATAAATTCAATATAATCTGACGGATGGCTCACCCTTCAGGATTCTACAAGAGTTTTCACCATAAGTCCCCATTGGTCGCCGTATCCATTCGCAGGATTCTCGAGCATTACGCTTGTTGGCCAGCTTCAGCAGAAGGGTTAGGCACCTTCCATTCCAGGAGCATTCCCTAAAACCGTAGTCCTTAAAACATTTGCGGGGGTCGTCATCAAAAGGGGGGTCTCTCATCCAAAGCTGATTTACATTTTTCATTGGATTTAGTTTTTCATGTTCATTGGAGGGGATCAGTGAGACGTTGGATCACATTATCTATCTACTTCGCCTTAGCTCGAATTCATACGGTATCCAAAACTTAACAGTTCAAAAAATTTTAAACTTTGCAAAAGACATTGAGCCTTGAAACCGCTTCGAATGTAGTGCAACGAGGGGGCGAAAGAGAATATCCGACAAATTCAGTCGCGGACTATGAGAACCCTCTTTCAGGCTCCGCGAATGGAACGCTTTCTGAATCTTACTTTCTCATTTAAATGGATATTGATTTCGCGAAGAAAAAAATTATTATTTTTGCAATCACAATAAAGTGATACAGCTCACAACCCTTGAAGTAAAATTCCGAACATGATCCCAATAAACCCTGATTTAAGTGTAGCCAAATAACTTAACGCTTGGCAACATTTTGTTGCAATGTAAATGTTGTAAATGACATCATTAATCCTTAGAAATTTCGAATAACTTAGCGGCCAAGCATGCATCAACCACCACTGGATTCACCAGCATCACAAGCAACACCATCACAAGAGCCAACAGCGATACAACCAAGCAAGTTGTTATCCTCATAAAGTGTGTCCGACCAATTAAACTTGCGAGCTTGACGACCCACATCAAGTGACCAAGGGGGAGAAGAGGACAGTGCTTTGAAGGGGTACGAGAAAAAATGCCAGAAAAGCACTTGAAATCCATCAAAAAGCTTATGAAGCAACATAAATGTGGCAACGGAACACATCCGTGGCATTTATGAAGCCATCAATGGTGCACACTTGGATAACAGCAACTCAACAACAAAAGTAAGTAACAAACAGCAAACAGCAAACAGCAAACAACAAATATTAAACATTATAACAACAATAGCAATAACAAGAATGGAAGCCACATTAACATTTTATAGCACACTGAGCACTCACACACACATAGACACCCCTACAGTGTCACTACTCAAGGACTCGAGCCATTTTGTACCTACTCATAAAAGCAGCGAAGCCATCAAGAACAAAGTTTGGCAACATTTATTACCCCGTTCGACCGATAAAAGTACATACCAAGAAGAAGAAGTAGCAACACTTAAAAGTTGCAATTGTAAATTTCAAAATTTTAAAATGTCACTATATGACGGTGAAGACGTTAGCCTTAATGTGCCTGGATGGTGCCTTCAAAGAAGCGCAATTTTGCTTCTTCCTCAAAATGAACCAGAACAAAGACAGTGTTTACATATAATATGAAAAACTATAACGGCAACTCAAGTGGAATCACACCAAATGGCACAAATGTTACTTACTTAGTAAGCTCGGCGAAGATCTCGAGGTTAATAGCTCATTTGTCCACCCTCCCAGCGAGGAGGCCCGCTCTACACCCCCTTTAAGTGAAACTGCATTAAGTAAAGAGACTTCGCTGTTGTTTTCTGGCGAACAAATAAAGTTTATTCCTGTTCATACAAACGTCGAATACTGCATTAATCTAGAAAATAAATCGAAAACAAAGCAAAAGAATCGAATCGTGAGAAAATAGAAGGGAAGAGATTTCGAGTGGGTTCTTGAGTTTAATGTTCCTTTTCTATAACTATTTTATATATTATTATTTTTATTCTCATGTATGTGTGTTGTTGATATGTATGAGTGCCACATGCCGCTAAGACACACACACACTCCCGTGAGGGCGGGGTGGATGCTCAGCAGATCTTAAGGCAGGCAGGGCGTAGCTGTAGCTCAGTGGTGGCCAATACAGCGTGTGGACCGCATCTTTTCAGATTTTAATAGTGTGGGTTTTTGTTGTTTTAGCGTCAGTATTGACTGTTTAGAAGCACTTGCGGTGCACAATGCCAGGGCCGGATTCGTCGTACTCCTGCTTAGAGATCCACATCTGCTGGAAGGTGGAGAGCGAAGCCAAGATAGAACCACCAATCCATACGGAGTATTTACGCTCAGGTGGTGCAATGATTTTAATCTTGATGGTCGATGGAGCCAAGGCAGTGATTTCCTTTTGCATGCGATCGGCAATACCTAGGAACGTAAGTAAAGGAATTAAGCCTCTGCAATTATATGAAATTGGCTTCTCTTACCTGGGTACATGGTGGTGCCGCCGGACAGTACGTTGTTGGCGTACAAGTCCTTACGGATGTCCACGTCGCACTTCATGATTGACTGGTAGACAGTCTCGTGAATACCGCATGATTCCATGCCCAGGAATGAGGGCTGGAAGAGGGCTTCGGGTGTGCGGAAACGTTCGTTGCCAATGGTAATCACTTGACCATCAGGCAACTCGTACGACTTCTCCAACGACGAGGAGGCAGCAGCAGTAGCCATCTCCTGCTCAAAGTCCAAGGCGACATAGCACAACTTTTCCTTGATATCACGGACGATTTCACGCTCAGCGGTGGTGGTGAACGAATAACCGCGCTCGGTCAAAATCTTCATAAGATAGTCGGTCAAATCACGACCAGCCAAGTCTAAACGCAAGATGGCGTGTGGCAGTGCATAACCTTCATAGATGGGCACTGTGTGCGAAACACCATCACCGGAGTCTAGCACAATACCGGTGGTACGACCCGAAGCATACAGAGAGAGCACAGCCTGAATGGCAACATACATGGCGGGCGAGTTGAAGGTCTCAAACATGATTTGGGTCATCTTCTCGCGATTGGCTTTTGGATTCAGTGGCGCTTCAGTGAGTAGCACTGGGTGCTCCTCAGGTGCCACACGCAACTCATTGTAGAATGTATGATGCCACACCTTCTCCATGTCATCCCAGTTGGTGATGATGCCGTGCTCGATGGGATATTTCAATGTGAGTATACCACGTTTGCTTTGCGCCTCATCACCAACATAAGCATCCTTCTGACCCATACCCACCATCACACCTTGATGACGTGGGCGGCCCACTATCGAGGGGAATACAGCACGCGGGGCATCGTCACCGGCGAAGCCAGCCTTACACATGCCGGAGCCATTGTCCACGACCAAAGCTGATGCTTCTTCATCACACATTTTGGAGTTCTGTTATTTAGTCTTTCACTATAACAACAACAATAACACAAATAAATACTTATTACAATTGAGAAGGGAAATTTGATATCACGGAGGGCTTGAAGTGTGACGGAAGGAGATCACTCTGTGGTGACACTTACACAGTAACACAAATTAAACACACAATATCCAACGACAAGTGGACGGAAGGACCTGCAGTAACGTGTGAATCCCAATGTAGCAGCAACCAAAGTGATTCGGCGATGTTGGACGTGGCGGCTTTTAAATCCAATGAGTCCGGTCGCTTCGGTCAAATTCGAATCTCAGCGCACACACAACGCCAGAGACATATCAATATTCTCTCTTCATCAGCAACAACAACTATTATTCTTTTGTAATCTTACTACACCAACAATAAAGCAGCACTACAAACAAATGATTTTGTCACAGAGAAGACGTTTTGATGGGCGTCCAAGTGAGATGAATTTCTTCTCGGATGAATTGTGATTGCCTGCAAAATGAGTCTGTTGCCAAGAAGTAATACAATTTCTTGGTTGTTTCTGTAAAAAGTGTAGGTGTATGTGCTGTGTACCCAAGAAAGGGCGCCCAAATGTAGGCGCGCGGGACCTGTTGAAGTCTTTTTGTTCATTTTCATTCTTTGTTTTGATTTGATTATAAATATAAATGCCACAAATTTATTTGTATGCTTGTATGTATGCAGCGATGGCGCAGTGAGCGCAACGAGACTCTTAGCGGCATCACGATCGCCATAGATGGTGTGGCATGCAGACAATCATTCATTGTGCCACTTTACTTTGTGTTGCAAGAATTGTGTGAGGCGATGACGAGCAAAATTTCTTTCACCCTCACATTGGCTTTAGAATGATCATTGGCTGTCTTAGGTGGGTTGGCACAGTGGTCTGTGGCTCGGGATTCTGCACTAAAGTAATATTATAACGATGGGTGGCTATTATTTCTGGTACGCGATAGTCGACGGAAGACAATCTAGCATAAATTCGATATGAAAGCAGTGGTTTGTCTTAAAATATCATCTGTGTGTAGCTAATTGGAGAGGTTGCTGGAGGAGCTTGGCAGAAAATCGTTTGAGAGACTACGTAGCAGCAGTTGTGCATGTGGCGCTTTGGAGTTCTTATGAGAAAAGACGACTAAATGAAATGCCTCAATAGAGGAACAACACTTCAATTTCACTTTTATGGCGTCCGGCCTAATGATCCAATATTTAACATATATTCGGCTACCATGGCAATTCAAATATCGTTTTTAAAGTCATGGATAGTCTCTGAATGGTTGACGCAGATCTCATTTCTTAAATTTCCAGCACTAGACGATTCCTCTTTCTACAAAGATTAGAGAAAAATGGACATTTCCATGCTCCGCTTTTGCATAAATGCCTGACCTTTAATTAAAACAAGGCATTTTTGGTATGACAGTTAAGTTTAACAGATGTCAAAATGCGGCCCCGTATATCCGCAAATTTTCTTACAGCTGGTAAGTCGAAGAGAATCCGAGAGCATTCAAAAGATAGAGAATTTAATAGTCGGCGCGGAAGTAACAGTACTTCCACATTAAACATTATATAATATTACATGAAAATTGGAAATAAGTAAGCGCCAATAGCGACCATACAGCAGGAATGCGCAAAGAGAATAGCAAAGAGAGACGCAAACCCTTGAATCAAGAACTTTTTCTTGCTCTATAGACATCGCAAATAGACATATTAATGAAAGTACTCTGGTAAAATAGTAGTACGCACACATACACAACACAATACATGTGTGTGAAAATATTTTTCGTCAACGAATCCTTAAATAGTAATCTTCCTAATAAGTTCAAGGAGAATACACAAAATGGCCAAAAATATGCAGATTCATCTTCAGACGTCATGCCCAAGGAAGTACATACATATGTATGTGTGTACATATGTATGTTCACAGAATCGCGAACATCTCTCGCGAAGATCATGAACACCAAAGTTGAAGTGTGCGAACATTCTTATAAAAGTATACATACTCGTATATGTATATGTGTATACGAGTATGTATATGTTCATATTGTTATTTGTCCTCTTAGAGCAGTTTCTTGCTCATCTCGATGCGATTTCTTAACATATCAATCCAATGCTTGCTTGCAATGATTTCAGCAACGGTACACAATATAAATATACATAATAGTACGTTGTTATTATGTGAATATATAAAATTTTTCGAAATTCTTTAGTGAAAAATGAAAACGGAAAAATTGCAAATTCGCAATTCCGCCAAACACATCAACACCACAACAAATGTAAACATTATCGCTTATAGTTGTCGGAAATCGGGGAAATGATCATGACGGAGAGTGGGGGGCTAGATTCCTTGGCAATTCTGACAAGTGGCTGATATTATTTATAACGTGCAATGCGCTGCCTATACACCATGCCACATGCCTTCGCGCAGAGGCTATGCAAATTTAGTTTATTTCTGTTTCTGTTTTTGCTTCTGTTTCTTCTTGACGGCAGCTTTGGTTGCCATGGATTAGCTGTGTGCACAAGTGGGCATTCGAGTATGTGTGTTTGTGGCACGCGTTAACGGTGCATCTGTAAAGTAAATTTCATGCTCTAAACATTTTTGTTCTAAACTACAAGCATGAATATCGCGATTTCGTACACATAAATAAATCACTTTTTGGCAAAGTAAATTTTCAAAATCAAATTAGACGGTTGCCAAGATGTTTGAGATTTCACTTTATTGGCGATGATTTATGAATTATGCATTGCCATATTCTAGAGCAATGTTGTTTTTTAATTCTACCATGAAGATCGCTATTAACGTATTGCGAATAAGTTAGAAATTAATTAAAATATGAAAGCAAGTATTCTGTGAAATATGAAAACTTATGAATGAGCGACTGGGTGAATGACTCTTCGTGGAACCATACTAAATTAGTTGAAGGAGTGTAAAACATATGTTTTAAAATTTATGAATGAAAATGTGACAGGTATATTATCGCATTAAGTAAAAAAAAAAATTATGTAATGAATTAGCATAAATAAAATAGAGTGAAATTATATTGAAATAATTCTTATATAAAATAAAAATAAAGTAAATAAGACAAACTGAAAAAACACAAAATTATATTAAAATAAAATTAAATAATTTATTATAAAAAAAATAAAATGAATAAAATAAATTAAAATAACATAAAATAAAAAACTAAAATAAAAGAAAGTAAATAAAACTAAATAAACAAAAATAAAATAAAATAAAATAAAATTAAACAAATTACATAAAATAAAAAACTAATAGAAATAAAATAAAATAAAATAAAATAAAATAAAATAAAATAAAATAAAATAAAATAAAATAAAATAAAATAAAATAAAATAAAATAAAATAAAATAAATAAAAATAAAATAAAATAAAATAAAATAAAATAAAATAATATAAAATAAAATAAAATATAATAAAATAAAAAATGACATAAAATAAAAATTGAAAAAATTAAGTGTAATAAACAAAAAACATTTAGCCCAAGATATAATTGCATGATATTGCGTCTATCTACAATATATACATATGTATATATATAAGGATTCTGAAATTTTCTCTCTCCTGCGTATAGCAAGCAAAGAAGTTCTGCATGTTCATAAATATATGTATACTATTTCTTTTACATGTAAATACGTGTATATGTATCTAACAAACGCAACGATACGTGTGTATGTGCATATTTAAATAAATGCATGTATAATGTATCCATGTATGCTTAAAATAAAATTCGATTATTTATGTTGATGTATGTAATTATTTTGTAGCATTTTTGTACTCGGCTTCAATCCTGTTTTGCATTTTCACATTACATTTTTATACTTTTTAGTTTCATTATTGTTTTTTTTTTTGTACATACAAACATATACATAAATGCACATAGCGAAACAAAAAAAAAAAAATACTAAAATAAAGAAAAAAGCAAAGAAAAACTCGAGTCTGTTCGTCAACTTTTGGGGCGGAGTTTTTAATTTTCCCATTTTGTATGCTTTGTTGTTATTGCATGTACGCGCTGCGTTCGAGGCTTGTTTACATTGCCTCGCATCGCCGCCCGTTGAATTGTCAAACGCTTGAAATATTCGATGTCTGTTGCACGCAAGGATCGCTCAAACATGCCTACAAAACACACACACACACATATCTGCATTTATTGCACCTCCACTGTCACCCCCGCTCTGCAACGGCAACTATTTATCTGCGACATCGTTGCCAGCGTCCACGCATATAAATCCAACTCTCTCTATTTACGCATATGCAACATTTCCCTAGTATGTATGTATATATATGTGCATGTGTGCGTGTCGCTCAAACTCGTGGATATTTCCTATTTTTTATTTTATTTATAAAAGTATTAATTGTGTGTTTTGTTGGTCACTTTTGGCAATTTTTTTATTCCCACGTCGCACATTTTTATTTTATTTGCCGCTGCTGCAGTTTTTTAAGGCATTTTTTGCCTTTTTTTGCGAAAAAAATACATAATACAACCATTCCATGTTGCAGGCGCACACATTCGCACATATATTTACACACAAGTCCACAAATGCAGCCTATGCTGATGCTGACTGCCACCTCCATCGACCGGCCTCGTTCGGTGGGCGCCCACAGCGGCAACAACAATTGATGGAATAACAAAAACAAATTGCAATAATTCACTACTTCGTCGTTTGTTTTTTTTTTTTTGTTTTTGCTTTGTTTTGTTTGAGTTTTTTTGTTCGCAGTTTTTGCATTCGCTATTTTATTGTGGCCGTTGTTGTTGCTGTAATTTTTGCTATGCCGTGGGTCAGTGCAATGCGTTCGAATGCATTTTATGTCTCTGCATCTGCATTCTCTCCTTCCGCACGCCGAAAATAAAAAATACAAAAATCTATTCCACTTTTTTACTTTTTTCCACTTTTTTCGCGTTTTGCATTTCAAAAAATAAATAAAAGGAACGGATCATATTCGATGCTTTTTTGTGTGTTTTGAGAGTGGCATCCAATAAGAGGAGTTGCATGATGCCCGAGTTTGTTCAGCCTTTTTGCTCACTCTCACTTATGGCGCGTGCAAATTGATGTTGGATCGGGAATAGCCCACATATGGCTGCGCTGCGGAGCACAGTGGCGGATTCAAGGAGCATAATTTGACTATAGAAGGACACAAATTTTGCAGGGATTTTGAGTACTAAACATTTCACTAATTAAAAAACTAGACAGTTTTATTATCAACAGACCTGTTCTCGATGTTGTCGGTTAGGTAAATTTTGTT